ACGCGTTCAAAGTGTGGCGATGCTACCTCACGGGAGCAGACGTGACAGTACGGACAGACCACCGATCACTACAGTACCTCCGCGCCCAACCGAATCTCAACCCACGACAGATCCGCTGGTTGGACTATCTGGAGTCCAACTTCCACTACACCGTCACGTACAAAAAAGGCGCATCCAAAACCGCCGACGCACTCACCCGCCCTACCGCCCAACTCCACGCAATCCTATTCGCCCAAACCAACCCACTGTTGATAGGACTATTCACCCACGGATACCGCACCGACCCATTTTTCACGACTGGAAATTCACAGCAACTGGCAGAAGCAAGAGGAGTCTATTACGTAAAAACCGGTACCGACCGCATTTGGGTACCCGCGTATCCACTACTGGGGGAACTGCTACTGCAGGAGGCACACGACGGGATTACCTCGGGACATTTTGGGGTAGAAAAAACGCGACAGCAGCTGTAGCGGTACTACTATTGGCCGGAGCTGTTGACCGACGTGCAGCAGCACGTGGGCTCGTGTCCCACGTGTCAGGTGATGAAGAGCTCGCGGAAGCGAAAGGCAGGTCAGTTGCAGTCGATCCCACCACCCGAGTGTCAAAACAAGCAGCAGAAAGCTAGAACAGGCAAAGAGGGGTTTTCACTAGCAGGCAGTTGAGTACATATAGGAAACCCTAATTTGGGCTATACTCGCTATAGAGTACCCCACTGCAGGCTAGACAAATATCACATTCTGACACACCCCCATAGTCAAAGTGGGGTATAATCAACACAGCAAGCAGTCATAGAGCAGGTTCACAAGTACAAGCAAAACTAGAGGCAGTCACAGAGGGCAAGTGAGGAGGAGGAGGGACTGTGAGAGGAGTGGAGATAGGAGGCGACGGGTGAAGCCGCAGACACACGGGCAACAGGAGCGGCGCGCACGGTGGCTACCGGTGGCAAGGGCCCCGGACTACAGGAGTACCTGGCTCCGCGGCTAAGACGAGCGGCAGGAGCAACTGACCCACGGGCGACTGGCGCAGCAGGCTCGCTGGGCTACCAGACCCACGGGCCTCGGACTACAGGCGCTGCGGACGACAAGACGGCTGCCTCCACTCAACCTCCCCCAACTGTCCCACACCCCTTTCACACACCCCCTGCTGTACCCCTAGCACTGCTCACACGCCACCCCCCTAGTACCACTCCGACGGCTCCCACACATCCACCCCCCTCAGCGGTAGCTGCAGCAGTGGGAGACAGAGGAGGAGGAGGAGCAGGGGACGGCGCACACACCCATCACTCCCATTCTCGCCACCCCCACACTCGCCACCCCCAAACCCTAACACAGGCAGCAGCGGGGGGGGGGGGGGGGGGGGGGGGGGCGGGCAGAAGCTCGGCGGATGGCGCACGGCTCCCCAGGGCGCCGCGACGGGGCAGCGGGGGGCCGCGCGCGGCTCCTCAGAGCGTCGCGACGGGGCAGCGGGGGCCGCGCGCGGCTCCCCAGGGCGCCGCGACGGGGCAGCGGGGGGCCGCGCGCGGCTCCCCAGGGCGTCGCGACGGGGCAGCGGGCTGCGCGCGGCTCCCCAGGGCGCCGCGACGGGGCAGCGGGGGGCCGCGCGCGGCTCCCCAGGGCGTCGCGACGAGGCTGCGGGGGGCCGCGACCGTCGACGGGGGGTGACGCACGGATCGACGGGGCAGAAAACCGCCGCGCGCCCCGAGCGCGCGGCAGGCAGCAAACATCGCGCGCCCAGGGCGTGCGATAGGCAAGACAGTAGTGGAAGCATCGGGCGGGACCACCCACAGGATCGACCCAGGAGGGTCGACCTGCTCTGATAGCATGTCAAAACAAGCAGTAGAAAGCTAGAACAGGCAAAGAGGGGTTTTCACTAGCAGGCAGTTGAGTACATATAGGAAACCCTAATTTGGGCTATACTGCAGGCTAGACAAATATCACATTCTGACACCGAGTGCGCCTGGCAGCATGTTACCATGGATTTCGTCACAGGGTTACCTTCGAAACCTGGGGGTAACGACGCGGTAATGGTCGTCGTTGACAGACTGACGAAAATGGCTCACTTCGCTGCGTGCAAGAAGTCGATCTCAGCCGAGGAAACCGCTCGCCTGTTCATCGCAACCGTCGTTCGACTGCACGGGATACCAGCTGCGATAATCAGCGACCGCGACACGAAGTTTACCAGCAACTTCTGGCGGAACCTTTGGGAGCAGTTCGGGACACGGCTACAGTTCAGCTCGTCGTACCACCCCGAGACCGACGGTCAAACGGAGCGGACCAATCAAACGATGGAGTAGTTGATTCTTGCCACGTGCGACGACCCAATAACCTGGGAGCAGCAGCTGCCGCTGATTGAGTTCGCGTACAACAACGCCACGTCAGCGACGACGCAGCAGTCCCCGTTTTACCTGAACTACGGGCACCACCCAACAGTGCCCATTACGCCGAACCCAGACAACCCCACGCCACGCGCTCAACAGTTCGCTGAAATTCTGCAGGCTGCCCGAACCAGAGCCGCTGAAGCTATCAAAAAAGCCAACGTCATCGCTAAACGCAACGCTGACCGCCACCGCCGCCCAGTCACGTACTAGTCAGGCGGTTACGTTCTGCTCGACACCCAGAACTTACGACTGCCCGATGTACCAAAACTCCGACCCCGCTACTGTGGACCCTTCCAAATCAGCCACATGATCACGACCGTGACCGCCCACCTACTCCTCCCTGCCGACTGGTACATCAACCAATCATTCCACGTCAGCCTGCTCCGACCGTACATACCGACCACCAGCCAACTACCGCGTCACCGCCCGCCATCCATGACTCGCCCGCAACAGAACCAATCGTCGAACCCGACAAGATTCTCAGCCATCAGGTCTGGCACCCCACAGGCATGAAGAGGATCGAATTCCTCATCCGTTGGAAGGACCGCACGCCAACAGAAGACAGCTGGGTGCCCCTGGCCAACATCGAAAACCACCCTGCCCTGCAAGTGTACTTAAGGAGCCGAGGTTTCCGCGATATACATGCACTCGCATGGCGGAGGGGGCTTCTTGAGGGGGGGGGGAGAGTGTAAGGAATTTTCTCGACGTTCCTTACCGCGACCTGCAACATCGCGTACAGCAGCAGCCGTTGTTCGCCCGTTACTGTCGAAATACTAGGCAAGAATAAGAAACAGCAAAGAGGAGTTTTCACTAGCAGGCAGTTGAGTACATATAGCAAACCCTAATTTGGGCTGTACTCGCTATAGAGTACCCCACTGCAGGCTAGACAAACATCACATTTTGACAGTTACTGCTAACGGGGCTTCGCTATTTTCGCGCGCACTGTTTTCCCAAACCATGCACCGCTGGCCCGGCCGTAGCGGCCTACGCTTTGGGACTAGTCCGAGCCTCGATGCCAGCCTAGCACTAGCTAGCTCGCACGCACCGCGTTACCGTTTGCATGTTTCGCGTATAAGGGCGTGTAACTATTTTGATTTTTTTTTGGATTTTTCGGACCGTCCGTATATTTTATAACGGACTGTCCTAATATCGAGAACCGGACCGTCCGATGTGACGTTTCGGAACATTGCCACCGTCCGGAGAGAAACATGACACTTTTTTCTAGCACTTTGACTTCGCGACTACTGTAGTCTCGCGCAGTTCCCGCGACACTCGTAACCAAATACACAAGATGTCGCAAGAAATATTCGTTTTCCAGTCACTGCGCAGGTTTGCAGAGGGAAATTCGCACGCCAATCCCTGCGCAGAACTGGCGGACCGTCCGTTGGGGTTTCGGACCGTCCGAAATGCGATTTCGGACCATTGGAAGTGTGAAAAAGTGTCATGACGTTTCGGAATGTTGGCGACGTCGCAAGGGGTTTCACGAACATATTTGCGAAATAATGCGACTTTGGTTACCTGTCGCCAACCCGGACGGTCCACATTTCGGACCGTCCGGAACAAAAATAGGCAAAATGGTTATACGCTCTAAATGTTCGCTCATGCCTTAGCTCACATTTTGTACTCGTTGAACACCTTAGTGCAATCCTCGCTACCTCGATCCATTGCACCCGTAACATATGCTCAGACGTATAAATCTTGTAAAGTGGTAAATATACTGAAGAAGGCAGCTTTGAAGCATTTTGTCTGACAGCACAAGCTTATGGGGGGGTGACAGCCAGCAACCGACACGACAGCAGACAGCTGACAGCTGGCCCTACAAGAGCTGCCCTGCATGGTCGGCGTGTGGCGCCGCGAGCGTCTTCCAATGGACGATCCGTTCGTACCCACCAGCGGACCGTGAGCGTAGAAACGACGCCACCTCGCGCAGTGGAGCTACTCTCGAGACCGCTGTGAGATGTCGTTCTCATGCTCCGTGCTACCCGCGCTCCCCGTGCTCCCCGCGCTCCCCGTGCTCCCCGCTCTCCCCGTGCTCCCCGCGCTCCCCGTGCTTCCTGTGCTCCCCGTGCTCTCCCCTCCCGTCCGCCACCTCGCTCTTCCCCCAACGCCATCATCAGCGCCAACGTTTGCACCACCCGCCGCTTCAACCAATTCCTCTGTCCACCTTCCGAGTCTCCGACGGCTCCCCAAGCGGGGGCATCTTTTCACCGTTGTTCCATCCTCTCGCAACCGAGCTTCAGCTTCTCTAATCCCCGATTCTCCACGCAGCCCCTTCTTCCGTCCTCTCGCTCGCTCTCGCGTTTTTCAGTACACTACTTTCCTGTCCACTTACCCCGCTCAGTACGCCAAAATATCGCGCCGTCCCGCGATTTGCCAGCGTGTTTACCCGCATCAGCGGCCGCCGCCGTGACCTGCGTGCCTCGCGCTTCTTGCCGCTGCCATCCGAGTGCGCGCGCTCGAGCTACCACACGCGTTAAGCCCCTCGCGCTCCTGCCCAGCACGACCTTGCAGCTGCGGCCGTCGCTGAACTCGAATTCGAGTCCGATTCGCCCGAAGCAGCCTCGAAGTAGCTCCCCGCATACTCGCGCTAACGACGCCGTCGCGGACGGGTGGACAGGCGGAGATGGCCGCGCGGGACTCGGGCAAGCCGGCGGGGGGAGGCGGGAAGGGGCGCGGAAAGGGCGCGGGGGAGGGGGAGGGCGGCGAGGGGGAGTGGTGGCGGGAGCCGCTGTGGCAGGGCGCGATGATTGTGGGGGGCGCGGCGGTGGCAGTGGGGCTGGGAGTGAAGTACTTGATGGGGGGGAAGGGGGAGGAAGGCGCGCAGACGGCACACAAGGGGAAAGGGAAGGTGAGTCGTGGGCGCCAGTTAGGTCACTGGGATGAGGCGTGGAGCGAGAAGGGTTAATCTTGAGGTGATGGATGGGGGTATTGTTAATCGTGATGAGGAGGTGATGATGATGGTGATGGTGATGGTGATGGTGATGGTGATGGTGATGGTGATGGTGATGGTGATGGTGATGGTTATGGTTATGGTTGTGGTTATGGTTATAGTTATGGCGGGGCGACATGGACGTGCAAGTGAAAAGCTGCACATGCAGCCACTAGCTGAGTCACGCAGCATTGATCCATGCCTGCTTCACACCTGCCTCTCCCCCTCGCCCTGCCTCGTGCCCTCACCTCGCCTGTCGCCTCTCTCACTTGCCGTCTTGCAAAGGTCGGTCGCCCATGAAGGCTCAGCGTGCTGTGAGCCCCACGCTCCCTGCTTAAGCCCACTCCACTCCACTCCCGTATCTTGTGTGCGTGGGTGCGGGAGAAGCATGCATGTTCGCGTGTGCGCACGTGTGCGTGCATGCGTGGATCTCCGCATGTGTGCCTGTCTGCGTGTGTGCATCCGTGCATGCGTGCATGGTTGTATGTGTTTATGCTTTCATGTGTCCCTCGCCCCCCTCCCCTCCCCCTCGTTTTTGCACAGGCGAAGGTGAGGTGGCATGTGCAGGCGATGGTGGCGGATGGCATGACAGTGAAGGTGCACAAACAAAGCACCAGAAGCATGCATGTGTGGGTGTCTACATGTGTGCATATCCCCCCCCCCCCCCCCCCCCCCCCCCTCCCACACCCACAGGCGAAGGTAAGGCGGCATGTGCAGGCGCTGGTGGTGGATCCGGACATGACAGTCAAGGTGCACAAAGGCGACACGCTCTGGGGCCTGGCGCACAAGTACCAGGTGAGGGGGCCTGGCGCACAAGTACCAGGTGAGGGGGCCTGGCGCACAAGTACCAGGTGAGGGGGCCTGGCGCACAAGTACCAGGTGAGGGGGCCTGGCGCACAAGTACCAGGTGAGGGGGCCTGGCGCACAAGTACCAGGTGAGGGGGGCTGGCGCACAAGTACCAGGTGAGGGGGCCTGGCGCACAAGTACCAGGTGAGGGGGCCTGGCGCACAAGTACCAGGTGAGGGGGCCTGGCGCACAAGTACCAGGTGAGGGGGGCTGGCGCACAAGTACCAGGTGAGGGGGGCTGGCGCACAAGTACCAGGTGAGGGGGCCTGGCGCACAAGTACCAGGTGAGGGGGGCTGGCGCACAAGTACCAGGTGAGGGGGCCTGGCGCACAAGTACCAGGTGAGGGGGCCTGGCGCACAAGTACCAGGTGAGGGGGGCTGGCGCACAAGTACCAGGTGAGGGGGGCTGGCGCACAAGTACCAGGTGAGGGGGGCTGGCGCACAAGTACCAGGTGAGGGGGGCTGGCGCACAAGTACCAGGTGAGGGGGGCTGGCGCACAAGTACCAGGTGAGGGGGGCTGGCGCACAAGTACCAGGTGAGGGGGGCTGGCGCACAAGTACCAGGTGAGGGGGGCTGGCGCACAAGTACCAGGTGAGGGGGGCTGGCGCACAAGTACCAGGTGAGGGGGGCTGGCGCACAAGTACCAGGTGAGGGGGGCTGGCGCACAAGTACCAGGTGAGGGGGGCTGGCGCACAAGTACCAGGTGAGGGGGGCTGGCGCACAAGTACCCGGTGAGGGGGGCTGGCGCACAAGTACCCGGTGAGGGGGGCTGGCGCACAAGTACCAGGTGAGGGGGGCTGGCGCACAAGTACCAGGTGAGGGGGGCTGGCGCACAAGTACCAGGTGAGGGGGGCTGGCGCACAAGTACCAGGTGAGGGGGGCTGGCGCACAAGTACCAGGTGAGGGGGCCTGGCGCACAAGTACCAGGTGAGGGGGGCTGGCGCACAAGTACCAGGTGAGGGGGGCTGGCGCACAAGTACCAGGTGAGGGGGGCTGGCGCACAAGTACCAGGTGAGGGGGGCTGGCGCACAAGTACCAGGTGAGGGGGGCTGGCGCACAAGTACCCGGTGAGGGGGGCTGGCGCACAAGTACCAGGTGAGGGGGGCTGGCGCACAAGTACCAGGTGAGGGGGGCTGGCGCACAAGTACCAGGTGAGGGGGGCTGGCGCACAAGTACCAGGTGAGGGGGGCTGGCGCACAAGTACCAGGTGAGGGGGCCTGGCGCACAAGTACCAGGTGAGGGGGCCTGGCGCACAAGTACCAGGTGAGGGGGGCTGGCGCACAAGTACCAGGTGAGGGGGGCTGGCGCACAAGTACCAGGTGAGGGGGCCTGGCGCACAAGTACCAGGTGAGGGGGGCTGGCGCACAAGTACCAGGTGAGGGGGCCTGGCGCACAAGTACCAGGTGAGGGGGCCTGGCGCACAAGTACCAGGTGAGGGGGGCTGGCGCACAAGTACCAGGTGAGGGGGGCTGGCGCACAAGTACCAGGTGAGGGGGGCTGGCGCACAAGTACCAGGTGAGGGGGGCTGGCGCACAAGTACCAGGTGAGGGGGGCTGGCGCACAAGTACCAGGTGAGGGGGGCTGGCGCACAAGTACCAGGTGAGGGGGGCTGGCGCACAAGTACCAGGTGAGGGGGGCTGGCGCACAAGTACCAGGTGAGGGGGGCTGGCGCACAAGTACCAGGTGAGGGGGGCTGGCGCACAAGTACCAGGTGAGGGGGGCTGGCGCACAAGTACCAGGTGAGGGGGGCTGGCGCACAAGTACCAGGTGAGGGGGGCTGGCGCACAAGTACCCGGTGAGGGGGGCTGGCGCACAAGTACCCGGTGAGGGGGGCTGGCGCACAAGTACCAGGTGAGGGGGGCTGGCGCACAAGTACCAGGTGAGGGGGGCTGGCGCACAAGTACCAGGTGAGGGGGGCTGGCGCACAAGTACCAGGTGAGGGGGGCTGGCGCACAAGTACCAGGTGAGGGGGGCTGGCGCACAAGTACCCGGTGAGGGGGGCTGGCGCACAAGTACCCGGTGAGGGGGGCTGGCGCACAAGTACCCGGTGAGGGGGGCTGGCGCACAAGTACCCGGTGAGGGGGGCTGGCGCACAAGTACCAGGTGAGGGGGGCTGGCGCACAAGTACCAGGTGAGGGGGGCTGGCGCACAAGTACCAGGTGAGGGGGGCTGGCGCACAAGTACCAGGTGAGGGGGGCTGGCGCACAAGTACCCGGTGAGGGGGGCTGGCGCACAAGTACCCGGTGAGGGGGGCTGGCGCACAAGTACCCGGTGAGGGGGGCTGGCGCACAAGTACCCGGTGAGGGGGGCTGGCGCACAAGTACCAGGTGAGGGGGGCTGGCGCACAAGTACCAGGTGAGGGGGGCTGGCGCACAAGTACCAGGTGAGGGGGGCTGGCGCACAAGTACCCGGTGAGGGGGGCTGGCGCACAAGTACCAGGTGAGGGGGGCTGGCGCACAAGTACCAGGTGAGGGGGGCTGGCGCACAAGTACCAGGTGAGGGGGGCTGGCGCACAAGTACCAGGTGAGGGGGGCTGGCGCACAAGTACCAGGTGAGGGGGGCTGGCGCACAAGTACCAGGTGAGGGGGGCTGGCGCACAAGTACCAGGTGAGGGGGGCTGGCGCACAAGTACCAGGTGAGGGGGGCTGGCGCACAAGTACCAGGTGAGGGGGGCTGGCGCACAAGTACCAGGTGAGGGGGGCTGGCGCACAAGTACCAGGTGAGGGGGGCTGGCGCACAAGTACCAGGTGAGGGGGGCTGGCGCACAAGTACCAGGTGAGGGGGGCTGGCGCACAAGTACCAGGTGAGGGGGGCTGGCGCACAAGTACCAGGTGAGGGGGGCTGGCGCACAAGTACCAGGTGAGGGGGCCTGGCGCACAAGTACCAGGTGAGGGGGCCTGGCGCACAAGTACCAGGTGAGGGGGGCTGGCGCACAAGTACCAGGTGAGGGGGGCTGGCGCACAAGTACCAGGTGAGGGGGGCTGGCGCACAAGTACCAGGTGAGGGGGGCTGGCGCACAAGTACCCGGTGAGGGGGGCTGGCGCACAAGTACCCGGTGAGGGGGGCTGGCGCACAAGTACCAGGTGAGGGGGCCTGGCGCACAAGTACCAGGTGAGGGGGGCTGGCGCACAAGTACCAGGTGAGGGGGGCTGGCGCACAAGTACCCGGTGAGGGGGGCTGGCGCACAAGTACCCGGTGAGGGGGGCTGGCGCACAAGTACCAGGTGAGGGGGGCTGGCGCACAAGTACCAGGTGAGGGGGGCTGGCGCACAAGTACCAGGTGAGGGGGGCTGGCGCACAAGTACCAGGTGAGGGGGGCTGGCGCACAAGTACCAGGTGAGGGGGGCTGGCGCACAAGTACCAGGTGAGGGGGGCTGGCGCACAAGTACCAGGTGAGGGGGGCTGGCGCACAAGTACCAGGTGAGGGGGGCTGGCGCACAAGTACCAGGTGAGGGGGGCTGGCGCACAAGTACCAGGTGAGGGGGCCTGGCGCACAAGTACCAGGTGAGGGGGGCTGGCGCACAAGTACCAGGTGAGGGGGGCTGGCGCACAAGTACCAGGTGAGGGGGGCTGGCGCACAAGTACCAGGTGAGGGGGGCTGGCGCACAAGTACCCGGTGAGGGGGGCTGGCGCACAAGTACCCGGTGAGGGGGGCTGGCGCACAAGTACCAGGTGAGGGGGGCTGGCGCACAAGTACCAGGTGAGGGGGGCTGGCGCACAAGTACCAGGTGAGGGGGGCTGGCGCACAAGTACCAGGTGAGGGGGCTGGCGCACAAGTACCAGGTGAGGGGGGCTGGCGCACAAGTACCAGGTGAGGGGGGCTGGCGCACAAGTACCAGGTGAGGGGGGCTGGCGCACAAGTACCAGGTGAGGGGGGCTGGCGCACAAGTACCAGGTGAGGGGGGCTGGCGCACAAGTACCCGGTGAGGGGGGCTGGCGCACAAGTACCAGGTGAGGGGGGCTGGCGCACAAGTACCCGGTGAGGGGGGCTGGCGCACAAGTACCAGGTGAGGGGGGCTGGCGCACAAGTACCAGGTGAGGGGGGCTGGCGCACAAGTACCAGGTGAGGGGGGCTGGCGCACAAGTACCAGGTGAGGGGGGCTGGCGCACAAGTACCAGGTGAGGGGGGCTGGCGCACAAGTACCCGGTGAGGGGGGCTGGCGCACAAGTACCCGGTGAGGGGGGCTGGCGCACAAGTACCCGGTGAGGGGGGCTGGCGCACAAGTACCCGGTGAGGGGGGCTGGCGCACAAGTACCAGGTGAGGGGGGCTGGCGCACAAGTACCAGGTGAGGGGGGCTGGCGCACAAGTACCAGGTGAGGGGGGCTGGCGCACAAGTACCCGGTGAGGGGGGCTGGCGCACAAGTACCAGGTGAGGGGGGCTGGCGCACAAGTACCAGGTGAGGGGGGCTGGCGCACAAGTACCAGGTGAGGGGGGCTGGCGCACAAGTACCAGGTGAGGGGGGCTGGCGCACAAGTACCAGGTGAGGGGGCTGGCGCACAAGTACCAGGTGAGGGGGGCTGGCGCACAAGTACCAGGTGAGGGGGGCTGGCGCACAAGTACCAGGTGAGGGGGGCTGGCGCACAAGTACCAGGTGAGGGGGCCTGGCGCACAAGTACCAGGTGAGGGGGGCTGGCGCACAAGTACCAGGTGAGGGGGGCTGGCGCACAAGTACCCGGTGAGGGGGGCTGGCGCACAAGTACCCGGTGAGGGGGGCTGGCGCACAAGTACCCGGTGAGGGGGGCTGGCGCACAAGTACCAGGTGAGGGGGGCTGGCGCACAAGTACCAGGTGAGGGGGCCTGGCGCACAAGTACCAGGTGAGGGGGGCTGGCGCACAAGTACCAGGTGAGGGGGGCTGGCGCACAAGTACCAGGTGAGGGGGGCTGGCGCACAAGTACCAGGTGAGGGGGGCTGGCGCACAAGTACCAGGTGAGGGGGGCTGGCGCACAAGTACCAGGTGAGGGGGGCTGGCGCACAAGTACCAGGTGAGGGGGGCTGGCGCACAAGTACCCGGTGAGGGGGGCTGGCGCACAAGTACCAGGTGAGGGGGGCTGGCGCACAAGTACCAGGTGAGGGGGGCCTGGCGCACAAGTACCCGGTGAGGGGGGCTGGCGCACAAGTACCCGGTGAGGGGGGCTGGCGCACAAGTACCAGGTGAGGGGGGCTGGCGCACAAGTACCAGGTGAGGGGGCTGGCGCACAAGTACCAGGTGAGGGGGGCTGGCGCACAAGTACCCGGTGAGGGGGGCTGGCGCACAAGTACCCGGTGAGGGGGGCTGGCGCACAAGTACCAGGTGAGGGGGGCTGGCGCACAAGTACCAGGTGAGGGGGGCTGGCGCACAAGTACCAGGTGAGGGGGGCTGGCGCACAAGTACCAGGTGAGGGGGGCTGGCGCACAAGTACCAGGTGAGGGGGGCTGGCGCACAAGTACCAGGTGAGGGGGGCTGGCGCACAAGTACCAGGTGAGGGGGGCTGGCGCACAAGTACCAGGTGAGGGGGGCTGGCGCACAAGTACCAGGTGAGGGGGGCTGGCGCACAAGTACCAGGTGAGGGGGGCTGGCGCACAAGTACCAGGTGAGGGGGGCTGGCGCACAAGTACCAGGTGAGGGGGGCTGGCTCTCAGCATTCCCCTCTCTCGTTGCTCCCCTCTTTGCGCTCGGCGTTGCCATCCTTCCCCTCCTTTGCCATCGCTGCGTGCAGCCCCTCGTTTCCGCTCCACACCAAGCTCTCTCACGCGCCTACCAAACAGGGCAGGCCCACGCACGCCTGCTTCCCTCCACAGGCCTCTACTTACCTCCACATCTCCTCCACCCCGACAATTTGGTTGGGTGTGCGCTTCCAGGTGCTGCTGGCGTCCCGCCTTCACGCACCGCTTTTTTTGTTCCTGAAAAAAGAAAGTGACCCTCTCCCCCCCACATCCTCCCCCTCTCCCCCCCCCCCGGCCCCCCTTCCCCATCCCCCACGCTCCCCCATGTGCCCCCATGCGCCCTCGTGCCCCCCAATGCCCCCCCCCCCAGGTGCCAGTGGACGCGCTGCGCAGTGCGAATCCCGAGGTACGCGGCGACCAGGTGCTGGCGGGGTCGCGCCTGTTCATCCCCAACGTCATCAGCGACGAGGAGTTTGACGTGCGTGCCAACGAGGAGTAGCGCTGCATTGAGGAGTAGGGGCTTGCACACGCAGCAGGGAGGGGGGGGGGGTGGGCGTGGTGCATGGCACGGCATGTGGGAGGGGGCAGTTTGCACGTGGAGCGGTTTCAGGGTTGCGAGGAGGGGGATGTCATCAGCGACGAGGAGTTTGACGTGCGCGCTAATGAGGAGTAGTGCTGCATTGAGGATTAGGGGCTTGCACACGCAGCAGGGGTGGGGTGGGGGGAGAAGAGGTTTTGAGGAGGCAGTGCATGTGGGATGGGTCACGTCACGCCTCTTCATCCGTAGCGTCATCAGCGACGGGGAGTTTGACGTGCCCCTGAATGAGGAGTAGCGGTGTGCTGCACACGGCACGTGTACGAGTGACTGCACCTCCCTCCGTCGTGTTTCTCAAGCCGCAGCCTCAGCCACTTGCCGCTGCTGCTGCTGCAATGGCTGCACTAGGGGAGGTGTGAGCAGCTAGTGCACCTCTAGAGATTATCCGGGTTACATAGAGGGTACCTATCACTAAATACAGAATCCTCTGTAACGTGGATTTTGTCCATACCTAGATTCTGGAATCATAAAACTCATGATGATTGACGTGCTTCATCCGATTTTTGTACAGATTTACTGTTTAGCGAAACGAGGTACTGCAATAATATTGTCTTCTAGCCACTGACCCCTTTGCATGCCTATTCATCAAATCACCCTCGTCACTACCCTTGTGTCCATCGCCAAACTGGAAGTGCCCATCTGCAATCCCTGCATCTTTGTCTTCCTTGGACTCCCAACCCAACTATATCAGAGAGTGTCTAACATGACACACAGTAAGGTATGTGAGTGCTCACTGCCTCTAACATGCCATTCGTGATACAGACAGTGTGATCGCTGCGAGTGCTCACTGCTCAAATAACATGCTACTCAAGGGTGAGCAACTTGAGCCTGCATCTTCCTAATCCCCACTTGCTCCAGCTGAATCCAGCCCACATGAGAATGCCACCTCCATCACACAATGTGCCGTCCATAACACAGCGTGTGCCCTGCCCAGTGTGACTCTTCATATGACGTGTTGCGTGAGGGTGAGCACTGAGCAGCGTGACCATCTTGCATGCCATCAGATCATACGGCACCAGCCCAAAAACTCTAGTACGCTGCCTACCCTTCCGATCAATCACCCCCTCACCACTGCCCCACCCGGGCGCAGACATAGCAAGTGCACACCTGCATCTTCCTCATCCCCACTTGCTCCAGCTGAGCCCACACCCACACCTAACCATCACTTTCATGATCCCAATGTGTGCCATGCCATTCCTACACCAATGGCTGCGCTTCACACACGCGCCATGGGGCGCTTATATGACGTGCTGTGCGAGGGTGAGCAGCTTCAGCATCTTCCTCGCCCGCAGCTCATGCGGCACGGGCCCAAACACGCGCGTCCCCACCGGCTCCCCCGCCTTGCTGATCACCACCGCGGCCGGCCCGTCAAACCGCACCTCACTGCCGTCCCTGCGCTTGTGGTGTGTGGCGGCGCGCACCACCACACACGTCACCACGTCCCCCTTGCGCACCTTCCCCCGCGGCTCCGCGTCCTTCACGGATGCAATGATGATGTCGCCCAGGCCTGCCGCGTTGGGCGCGCGGCCGCGCAGGACTTTGATGCATTGCACGCGGCGGGCGCCTGAGTTGTCGGCTACTTGGAGGTTTGTGCGCAGCTGCACGAAGGTGCGCGTGGGGGTGAACGGGAGGGCGGGTGGTGAGGGGAGGCTGGGGGAGGAGGAGGTGGGGAGAGGCGCGGGGATGAGGGGGCGGATGGCGAAGGGGATTGTTTGAGTGAAGAGGGAGGAGTGGAGAGAGGAGGAGGAGATAGGGGGGGAGGAATGGGGGGTGGTGGAGGCGGGAGTGGAGAGGGAGGGAGGTGCGGGAGGAGGGAGGATTGGCGAGGCGGGTGGCGCGTGTGCGGATGGGAGAGGCGTTGCTGCCACGGCAGTCCTGTAGGCGGGGTGGAGTGGATGACGAGAGGGTGGGAGAGAGGATGAGAGGGTGGGAGAGAGGATGAGAGGGTGGGAGAGAGGATGAGAGGGTGGGAGAGAGGATGAGAGGGTGGGAGAGAGGAAGAGAGGGTGGGAGAGAGGATGAGAGGGTGGGAGAGAGGAAGAGAGGGTGGGAGAGAGGATAAGAGGGTGGGAGAGAGGATGAGAGGGTGGGAGAGAGGATGAGAGGGGGTTGGGAGGGTTAGTACGGGGTGTGAAGAAAGTGACTGGATAGAAAGAAGCGGGAGGGGAAGCAGTGAAGTTGGACAGGGAGAGATTGTGAGGTAAGGGACGCGAGGCGGAGATTAACCAGGGCGAAAGAGGAGGAAAATCGGAGAAAGGGAAAGAGCGCTTAAGATTGAAAGGGTGTATGTGAATTTCAAAGCGTATGTCGAGCGACGAATTTCCGATCAACTAAGCACGATTGCTGCAACGATGATCCGCGTAGATCGGAACGGGTCATTTTCGCGATACGCATTTGATGCTAAGGTAAACGGTAATCAGTAGTGGCCGGTAGCCAGCAGGCTTGATCATCAGGAGACGCACCAGCGGGCGACGGCAGAGCGCGCGGCGGCGACTCCTCTCGAGGACTGCCGCGCTGCGAGCCCCGCGAGCATGGCGAGGCGGACGCGAAGAGGTCCGCGGGAAGGGGACGGTGAGGCGAGGAGAGATCACTAACGGGGTAACGTGGGGAAGTGGGGGTAAGATCACTGACTTCCGTTCTGTACGCTTTCGTTCTGTCAGCTGTGAGCCGCGTTACTAGTAAATGACACGCTGAGGTGATTGCTTGACAGTTTAGGGCGGCTTCAGGTTGCACTGAAACTATTCATTTGCAGGAGTTGTTACCAAATTTCGAGATGTAACCATTGTTTGTGCTGACTACCGGATATGATCAACATTTCCAAATGAACAATTGCGTGGACGTGCCAATGCGACTTTGTGCGACAATGCGCCGAACAGTGCCGGATCGATTCCCAGCTGCGCCTTATAGCTCTCACGAATTCGCGATGCCTGTGTGCTGAGACGTGACGAGCTGATTGTTACACGGATATTGGCTCCTCAAATGTCACGTCGCTCAACCTCAAACCCGGTCTGATGTGATTGGGACCCAGATCTCTCTTTCTGACAGGAACGGCACCGAACAAGAACCCGCAAATGCAGAACCTTCAGAACTGTGCATACTGATACCGTACTTACAGACACTTTCCTGAGGTTAGGACGCGGTTAAAGTACAAATATCGCCAGATCGTGAGCGAAAATCGATCCCGACAATCGGTTGGTCGGGTCGTTTGGCGAAACGATGCGCCTACCAGGTTGTAACGATCGCACCTGAGTTTAGCCGTGGATGCTCCACCATCGAGATTGTGGACCCGCCTGCGACGCGGGCACCGTAAAACCAGGGGTCGCACAATCACACATGCGACAGTCGAATCAAATTTCTGGTTGGGCTCCGAATTTATGGTTTGCTCTCAGGTTGGGCGACTCAAATTTCCGACTATGCGAAAAATCAGCGCCTCGCAGGCATCCGAATCAATCGGGCCTGGTGCGCTCGGTTCGTGGGCATCAGATGCGCATCACAAATCGGGGGCGATCGGTGATCAGTCGCAATCTCTCACCGTGCAGCTTTTTTGGCAAAAAACCGTACCGTAGCAAGGTTATAAGACAGTAAATAGGGTAACCAATCCGCACATCGATCGCGACCGACGATCGATCGTCTACTCTTACCGCGTCCTTAGGACGTGTCTCATGTGAAGGGTCCGCTGGATCTGGTCCGCGACCAAAATTTTTACGCCTGGTCCGAGTTTCTGGTCCGACGGACCCACTTGGCGGACCAGCGTTGGACCAGACACGGACTGGTCTGCCTGATGCGTCGCGTCTCGGGCTGCACAATATTTGCGAGTTGCAGCACTAGCGACGAAATTGAAATCGAGTTACCTTTTCACTTCGTCTGGAAAAAAATCTTGCACGAAACATACGAAAAAGGAAATTTCGCAAAACAATGTTGACCACCCACTGTTTACGGACCAGGCGCGGACTGGTCCGGAGGACGAAAAAATGGCACCGTTTTAGTGCCATTCGAACGGTACAACGGGGTTACAAGCCCCACATCCTGGTCCCAGTCCGCCCCTGGTTCAGGCTCTGGTTCTTGAGCTGGTCCGCCAGGTCCGAGCCGGACCCACGTGGACTCAGATATCGAAACACGTCCTTAGGTTATCGGCGAGAGCGGGGAGAAACCAGACGACCAGCCTTGGTCCGAAGGAGTGTACCGTTGAAGGGCCCTCGAGCTTCTGATTGGAAGATTCCTGCTTTCTCAAGATGTGGGATCCACTTGCGAGTTTGCTACTGTCGTTCCCCTCATTTTCCAGTTGGCTTCTTGAGGGAAACCACAGGATAAGGGCGTGGAACGTTTCAAAATTTTCACTCTAGTTCCGTACGAAACCCCTGAGTTCCACACCGTTGTGCGGTTTGGGCCCAACTGGACGGCTGTTCGGTTGGGAAGTTGGTACATTGACTCGTTCTTTGAATTTGGATTTTCAAACGGCGCTGTGCATTTTCGAACCGTCGCACGAGATATAATTACAAAATCGCCTACAAACAAATACCACTAGCAACACTTGCATGCGACGTCGTTTGGCAGAGTGCGATTTCGCCAGCAGTTAGTGGCGCTGTCAATGTATGTCAGGGTTCCGAACGGGGCAATTCAGACTGTTCGCCCTGTCAGTACGGAATTCAAACACTCAAATGTTCCAACTGGGTTCCGCACGATGACGATGTCGCAGATACCCTTTGCGAGGTCAGTTGCAAAAATCAGCGAAAACTGTCACCACACCGAGTTCCGAACGGTGGCGTAATACGCACCAGTCAAATTCGAAATGTTCCACGCCCTAACCATGTGTGCGAGCAGCCCGAGAATTCCCTCCCACACTTGCGAACCCATTTCAGAATTCAAATCTAACAGTGGGGACGCTAGTATTTGTGCTCTACCTTAGGTTCTTTAGAGCGTCCAACCAAGTTCTTATCACAGCACAACCTGCTCCAACCTAGTGACAGCACAAGCAGATTCATTTAAAGTCTGTCTCGCATAAGCACTTATCGTCCTTATTGAAGGTTTCTGTAGTTATCATCGCCTGACCCGAGGCCGACACGGTGTTTGGGCTTGCGGGGCCTGTGGCAATCCTAGTCAGCAATCCCTAAAAGCCATATCGTCAACCGTTTAGGATGAAAAGAGGACTCACCGTGAGCATCGCCCATAGGCGCACGCATGGGTGCAATCATCGGAGGTCGGGTTTGCCACCTAGATCCACCCAGATCCACCTAGATCCACCTAGATTCAGGATAGAATTTTCCCGCGCTCCGCCGCCCAGAGAACTTTCAGGACCGGCATTCGTTCCGCATCGCCATCCGAGGCGGGCCACCCATTCCCGCCATCATGCGGCGCGCCGTCAGTTCCTCCAGCCCTGTGAGCTGTTGCGAGTGCTCGACTCCTCGCCCTGTGAGCCGTTGCGAGTGCTCAATTCCTCGTTCACAAGTTGACTCGAGACCAGGTTATTAGTCGAGTTTTGAGATAGCCAAGGCGGAGGAGGTGTTAGATCGATTTGCGAAAGCCTCGGGGCTAGCAACAAACAAAGCAAAATCGGTGGTTTTACCCCTTGGCGCAAACCTTGACGCGAAGGGTGACGGCTCGAGCTGTTTCAAATGGGCTGGGGCAGACGAAGCGGAGCGCCTGCTGGGGGTTTGGGTGACGCCGTCCGGAAATGGTCTGCCTACGTGGGAAAAGGTGTGGGGGCACATCATAGAAAAGTTAACAAAAAGGCAGCTGAAATACTTAATGATTACGGCAAGGGCCACGGTGGTAAACTGTTACATCACACCGCTCCTTGCCTTCCAGGCGCAGGTCTATCCTCTGTCGGCAGAGATTTGGGAGGAGGTCATCACGCTATTGTATGGCTTTACCTCGGGCAACAGAATTGCGACGGTGAAAGGCTTTATACTCTGGAGCAGGGAGCTACTTTACACTCCCAGGGAGGCAGGCGGGATCGGGGTGAGAGACCTGGAGATTGTGATCACGTGCCTTGCTGCGAGGAGGGTGGGCCTTTATCTCATGGAGCGGGACCCCCTTAAGAAAGAGATCATGGAGTAGGCGGCAAAACTACCATTGGGTGTTGACACATTCTTCTCGCACGTGAAGCTGCTGAAACATTGGGAGGGGCGAAGTTTGAGATGGAAGCATACGTGTGAAAGTTTCACCCGCTCCCCGTTCGATGTCCGACCAGCAGCGAGTAGCAAAGAGGCGGTGCTGCAGGAGTGAATTATGTTCAACAAAGAAACTCTATTAACGACGCCCATCGGGGGCCAAAAAGATAGCAGGTGTCAAAGTTAGATGTAGAAAGTAAGAATGAAGAAAGGAGGAGTTTGCACTAGCAACAATGGTGGTACAAATAGCTAACCCTAGAAGGGTTGTACTCGCTATAGAGCACCCCACTGCAGGCTAGAGCATAATATTCTGACACACCCCCATAGTCAAAGTGGGGTGTAATCAGCAGAGCAAGCAAAGTAGTACAAGCTCAGGGTGGATCACGATGTCACCACACATTCTGAGCACAAGCAAGAAGCAATAGTTTAAGGTTCACAATTATGAGCAAAGCTAGAGGCAGTCACAGGGGGCAAGTGAGGAGGAGGAGGGCTGGTGAGAGGAGAGTAGATAGGAGGCGACGACTGAAGATGCAGACACACGGGCAACAGACGGCTCTGGTGCGACAACGTGGCTACCGGGAATGAGTGCCCCGGAGTACAGGAGTAACAGGCTCCGCGGCTAATATGCGCGGCAGGAGCAACGGACCCACAGGCGACGGCGCAACCGGCTCTCTGAGCTACCGGGAATGAGTGCCCCGGAGTACAGGCGCTGCGTACGACACGACGGCAACCTCCGCTCAACCTCCCCCAACAGTCCCACACCCCTCGACACACACCCCCTGCTGCGCCCCTAGCTCCACTCCCCCTTCACCCCCCTAGGACCACTCCTTCGGCTCCCCACACAACCACCCCCCTGAGCGGCAGCTGCAGCAGCGGGAGACGGAGGAGGAGGAGAAGGAGGGGACGGGGCACACAACCGGCACCCCCACACCCGCCACCCCCACACTCTACATCCCCAAACCCTAAAACGGGTGGGATAGGGGCAGGAGCGCGGGGGACGGCGAGAGGGGGACGGACGAGGCGCGCGCAGGCTGCCCGCGCCGCGCGCTGGCCTGGCGCAGCCCGTACGGGCCGCGCGCGGGCCTGGCGCAGCCCGTACGGGCCGCGCGCGGGCCCCAAGGGCGCTTCGACGGGCGACGGGGGCGTTTTGGCGGGCGACGGGGGGCGCTCCGACGGGCGACGGGGGGCACTTCGACGGTGGGAAACCGCCGCGCGCCTCGGGGCGCACGGCAGGCAGAAAACCGCCGCGCGCCCCAAGCGCACGGCGGGATGAAAACCGCCGAAACCCTAGAAAAAATTCGCCGCGCGCGGAGCGCGCGGCAGGAAGAAGTCGTCGCGCGCCCGAGGCGCCCGGCAGGAAGTAAAGCAGCGGAAGCATTAGGTGGTGGGCCCACCCACAGGATCGACCCAGGAGGGTCGACCT